CACTACAATGAACCTAAATAGGTTCTTTCTAATGTAGTATTAGTATTTAAGCTGGTTTGAAACACCTTGTTGGCATCAAGTTCAAAATAAGCGCAAATCTTTCTATTTAAATTTTTATGTCTTGTTATCTTTGTGACATTTTAAACTAAATATAGGGCTTAAAATGTTTGCAAATGATTGCATTCTGTTTTTATTAACATCTGTACAAGATCCAGATGTGATCTCTGCTGCAGCCATTGTCTCCTTGTATCCTGCTGAACTACCCTTGAGTGAGATGTCACATGTTTCTCTGCTCACTCATTTCACCTTATGGACAAGAACAAATGCACTCTCGAACCATCCTTTAAAAAAAGCTCCATAATCTGGTGAAGTAACACTATAGCTACATGTATTTTTTTTTTCTTGTATCATCTGCTTTAGTGGATCCAGTAATGGCTATAATCTGGATTATCCTGCATTAAGTATTTGAGTGAGAATAAGAAGGGAATCTTGTCAGGGAAATCAGGTGGAAAGATCAGAAGAATATGGTACACAACGCTAAAAAACAGGCTAAACAACTTTGTAAGATGTTTACTGTATATTTGGATCTGGTGGCTGAGATCTGTCTAATCTGTATATATTTGTGTCGTATGTTCTGTGTGTTGGTTTGTACATTCCATTTGTTAAAACCAAGATAATCTGTGTGTTAATGACATTGTAACATCATAGGTTGCAAGGGCATTAAGTACATATAAGTACAGGATAGTAGCAGCTGCCATATACTATTGTAGTTATGCATGAGCAGTACACAAGATGCTGGACTTTGCTTTCATTTACAGGAGAATCACACATGTAACACTTGAGTTATACTATATAGCATTTTCAGTTGAAACCATAATCGAGGTACCATAGAAATCCTGCCAACTGTCTTTGTAACCATGTACTTAATTTGGCTAAATAAATGCATTTGTTGGATAATTTTAAAGGTATTCTGACTTTCTTGTGTTTGCATTTTCACTTGCCATCAACTGCCAAAATGCCTTTGTGCAAATTAGTATACGTTACATGCTGTTTTCTGCATAATAAAGATTTCTGATGATCGCTTAGTTTTTCTGACACGCTCACAGCGGGCATGGCGACACTCTGACGTCTTGCCAAAAACTAACGCCACTGAAAGCTTTTTCTTTGTCTTTTTAAATGGTGAAAGTGGAAATTGAAATATTCCACCTTTAATCATGCACTCTTAATTTTTCCTCACATGCAGCGTGGACATCTAAGCAGGTGAAGGCTGGGTGTGACAACTCATGGAGTGGTTTGAAGATGACCTCTCTGTCATGTGTGTATGTATACGTTGGGATGCTGTCAACTTGGCCTGGGGTCCAGGGACACGAGCCCCCTCCACCAGAACAAGAGGCCTCTCCACAGGGTCAGCTGCTGGCCCTAAAGGGGCCCACTCACCCATGACTTAATGCCCCTGAGCTCCTTTGTCCTTTGGGCTGTTGGTTTTACAGGCCCATTCACTCAATTGCCCCCCAAATGGAGGGAGAATGTGACGACTTGCCTTATGCTGAAGGAGCGGCAGTGCGCATGCATGCAAACAATGTACACATAAACACACGAGCGCCACATGCACGCCATGTCCACTTAATCAATCTGTCCTCCTTTGCTTTCATTCTGGTACAAGAGGGCCTTTTGTTATTGCGTGACCTGCACTATGAGCCGAAAGATGTCGGGGACCCTTTGCTTCTTAATTGGTTATTGGCAGCAGCCCTTCCACTTTGTACCTCCTGCATGTATTTAGTTGAAACAATGACTTACTGAAACACTATATAGACCTAAAATAAACATATAATTGCTGTTTTTGGATGAATTACATTTAACCTAGATATACAGATTCTCTTCACATGCTGTAGTTTCCACTGATTTAATTATAATGTCCAGTGCACGTTTGCCCCCCTTCTGTATCTCTTATCATTCAGTCAGCTTGACTAGATAAGGTATGTGAGTGTGTCCATTTTTGGGTCTACCCTGTGCACCAAAGACATGAAACAGAGCCTACAGGCATCTGACCAAATCTCCTCGGCCTTCTTTCTTTAAGCACACACCCATAAGCGAGTGCACAAACTCTCTCACACACACTGTTTGCCTTTGTGTATGCTAGACAGCAGATGGCAGCCCATTATAGGGCTGACAGAGCAGTCATCTGGCAGGCACCCCGGTTACCCCCTCCTTCCACCTCTCCTCCCCCACCACCCAAAAGACACCCAGCACAACACAACAGGGATAGGAGCCTTTTAGGCGGGAGACTGTATCTGTGTGTGTGTGTGTGTGTGTGTGTGTGTGTGTGTGTGTGTGTGTGTGTGTTAAAATTGGACACTGGCCTTTCCGCTCTATATAGGTCACTGTTTCCACTGTTGTGTGTGTCAGCGCCATGTGAGGTAAGTCAGGCTCACATTTGACTGGGGATTTGCCAGGCTATGACTTACTTTGAATGGAAAGTTTATCTCTACAGTATGGAGGACTGATGCTGCTAAATAAAAAATTTAATGGAAAAATACATGTATGTATTAATTATGTAAAGAATAAAAAAAATGATAATAATGTTTCATTCAGCTTCTTTATTAATTTACCTTTGTAGTATTATCTCACACATCTTTATTTCCTTTATTTAATTTTTCATCTTTCACCTTCTGACACTTTTAATGACAGTCAGTAATACAGAACACAGAAAGAATTCAGTTCTTTCTGTGAAAGATCGGGTCCTCTACCTGAGGCCTGGCAGCTTGAGGATCCTTCCTTGGACTGTTGTGGACAGAGATCTCAGATGTTGTTCCTGGGATCTGCTGGTACCACTTGCCCAGCTTAGGGGTCACTGCACTGAGTGCTCCGATTACCATGGGGACCACCGTTGCTTTCACCCTCCACAACTTTGCAAGCTCTTCTCTCATCCCTTGGTTTTTCTCAAGCTTGTCATGTTCCTTCTTCCTGATGTTGATATCACTTAGTATAGCTACAGCTATCACTACATTATCTTCCTCTGCTTTTCTACCACTACTATGTCCAGTTGGTTAGCCATCGCCAGTTTGTCTGCCTTGATATGGAGGTCGCACAGAACCTTAGCTCATTCATTACCAAACACCCTAGGGCAGGGGTGTCAAACTCAAATACACAGTGGGCCAAAATTCAAAACTGGAACAAAGTCGTGGGCTAACATTAATATTTATAGAAATATATTTATTCCTCCAGATATAAGAATGAATCTTTTCTTATGGACTCAAACACGTTTTGCTGAAAAACTGAATATGGAACAAGCAAAGCTTAATACTAAACAATATATATATTAGCTGTATAATACCAGCAGGCCAGCTCTAATAGTAATTTGGTATGGCTTCGCGGGCCAAATGTAATTAGGCTGCGGGCCAAATTTGGCCCGCGGGCCAGAGTTTGACACCTATGCCCTAGGGGGTGTGTCTCATTTTAACCTTGTGACTTCCAGACCACTTGTACTTGTAGCTTGTAGCTGTAGCTGTCCTCTGGTATTACAGCCCCCTCAGCTCTGACTAGCTTCCCTCTCTTTGTCATCATCCTATTACACTTCTCCAGTCTGAACAACATTCCAATGTCGTCGCTGTATATCCTGGTGGTATGGATCAGTGCATTGATGTCTCATTCACTCTTGGCATACAGCTTGATATCACACATGTAGAGGAGGTGGCTGATGATCGCTCCATTCTGTTTTCAATAATCTCACTGAGGGGGTTCAGGCCTATGCAGAACAGCAGAGGGGACAGACCATCTCCTTGGCAGATCCTACACTTGATGGTGACTTATGCTATTGGCTTGAAGCTGGCCTCTGGAGTTGTTCGCTACATCCCCACTGAATTCCTGAGGATGGCTCTTAGGATCCTGTTGATCTTGTACAGTTCTAGGCATCCAGGATCCATGTGTGGGGCACTGGGCATAGGGTTTCTTACAGTCAGTCCAGGCAGTGCACAGGTTGGTGAGCTTGGTCTTGCAGTTTCAGGCCACTGTTCTGTCTACCACTGCTTGGTGTTTTGCTCCTCTGGCATTCCTGCCTATTCCTTTTGGTGCCCCGCTCATGTATTGAGCCATGTATGCAATAAGACACTTAAGCTCAATTATATTAATTTAAAAAAATTGTAAAAAAATCTTTTTGCCATATTTTACAATTAATGTAAAAATTAAAAATGACAAAAATGTTTTCAATTCTTTTTGGTGCATTTGTAGACATATTTATTTATTTCATTTATTTCATTTAAAATATTAAAGTTTTTTATTGTTTATTTTGGATTTTGACAGTTTTGATCCTCCATACTTTATACTCGATATCCAGCTACACTTACAATAACTTTGTATATATGTGCATATACTCAGTTCTTGTGTCAAACTCCAGAAGTAATCACAAAGTTATTCACAAGAATTCTTTGACCCTATATAAAAGTGAGTCATAGGCTCGAGGTAAACTCTAACAGTAAACGCTACAATATTCTCCTTGTGAATGAGAGTTTGCTACAGGACGAGTGGAGCTGTCTGTCTTTGTAACATTTACACTCTTCACTGTGCAGGACATGTCTTCCAAACACTGGCCCCAGAGTGACTGCCTCCTGCAGCCTTTATAACAAAGGATTATACAACAGTGAATATCAAACAGCAAGTGGAGGAGGGGTGTATTTCCCTGTGGAGGTCAAGGCCAAAGTTAGGATTTTATGTCCTCTGCAGAAGGTAATCTACAGCCCACCCTATAGAGATCCCACCACAAGGACAAGGCTGGGAGGCACCACTGAAAAAGAAAGACTACATGCAACTTCTGAGAGCTGCTTTGGAGTTGCTGGGGCAACTGGCACAATCCCTGGTCTTTTGGCAAAGCTTTCAGCAGGCCTCAATCACACTTCCTATTAGAAAGAAGGGAGGCCCAGTGTGTTCAAAGGAAAATGAACAGGAGCCTAAGCACTGAGTCGTACACCAAGGCATGTTTGGACTGAAATGAAATCATCATACAGTCACGGAGGGTTTGCTGGTTTTATCATTATCACAGTAACATATTACAGCATATTAAATAGACATAGACACACATTAACAAATCACAGGAAAAAAATTAGGACCATAACAAAACCAACAGCAGAAATAACATTCAATAAAGGCAGCGTTATAGAAAAGGCTAAATTTAATAATCATGAAGCATCACTTCCTGCTTCACTGACTGCATCTAACTGCTACGTTGTTTGAGCTTTGATTGCAGCGACTAATGTTGTACAGTTTTCAGAATATAAGCCTGACTTTAGATTAGCTGAAGCACTGGGCAGAAAAGAGCAACACCTTCAAACTTTCCAGCATGTTGCACTTGAGACAACACCCCCATCAGTGATGTCACGGCATGCTTTGCCCATCAGATAAAGTGGGTAACACACACACAAACACACACACACACATACACTACTGTGACATCACTAATCAGGGTGTTTACATTCAGCCTTCAACCTCCTGCTTGCATCTAGAAAATCCTGATAAAGCACAAGTACAAGCCCACATCAGGAAATTCAAAACTCATCTGCACATTTCAGAAGCTCCTCTACCCCCTCATCCTCCACCCCGAGTGCAACCTCACCAAAGTGATCTCAGCTCAGCCACCCAGGACAAAGAAAAGGGTTTCTTAGTCGCCCTCGAAGGCCCCATTGGTGGCTCCCTGGCATTCAATCTTTTTCCGGCACTTGGACAAGATCCTGTGGAGCAAGTTTGGAGATCTCTGTGCCTGGGGCTGAGAGGCCACGGGCTGAGGCAAAGGGATCTGGGAGCTCCGAACCAGGAAAGGGCCTTCACGCTCACCCTGGCCCTTCTCCAGCCCCACTCCTCCTCCACCTCCTCTGCTCCCCCTCTTGAATGCCTGCAGAATGTGTCCACTGGGGGACAAAGAGGAAATAACAAACACAAAGACCCTGTTTATTCCTTATGACCCAAATTCCACTGTGAGCAGACAAGACGTGAAGAGGCCTGTGGGCTTATGTACAGTGTGTGTGTGTGTGTGTGTGTGTGTGTGTGTGTGTGTGTGTGTG